GTATTGCACATGGCTCTATCACATGTAATTATGTTCCACAGGACTCACTTATCACATGTAGCTATGTTCCACATGACGCAATTATCACATGTAATTATGTTCCACACAACTCATTTGTCACATGTACGTATGTTCCACGCGACTCAAATATCACATGTACTTATGTTCCACGCAACTCAATTATCACATGTAATTATGGTACACGCGACTCACTTATCACATGTAGCCATGTTCCACGTGACTGGATTATCACATGTAATCATCTTCCACGCCCCTCGATTACCACATGTAACTGTGTTCCACGCGCCTCGGTTATCACGTGTAACTGTGTTCCACGCGACTCGCTTATCACATGTAATCATGTTCCACGCGACGCGCTTATCACGTAATTATGCTCCACACAACTCGCTTATCACATGTAATTATGTTCCGCATGGCTCTATCGCATGTAATTATGTTCCACATGACTATCACTTTTAATTATGTTCCACGTGACTATCGCATGTAATTATATTCCACATGGCTCAACCATCACATGTAACCATGTTCCACATGACTCAATTATCACGTTATGTTCTACATGGCTATCACAAGTAATTATATTACACACAACTCAGTTATCACATGAAATTCCACACGATTCGTTTATCACATGTAATTATATGCAACATGATTATCACATGTAATTATATGCCACATTATTAGTTTATCACGGAATTATATTCCACATGATTAATTTATCACATGTAATTATATTCCACATGATTAATTTATCACATGTAATTATATTACACATGGTTACTTTATCAATCCCTTCACCCATTTTTGTACCTGTTATTATCCTACACAGGGTCACAGGGAGCCTGGAGCCTATCCCAGGGGACTCGGGGCACAAGGCAGGGGACACCCTGGATGCACACACACTCACACACCCATTCATGCACTACGGACAATTTGGAAATGACAGACAGTCTACTACACATGCCTTTGAAATGGTGGAGGGAACCAGAGAAAACCCCAAAGCACAGGAAGAACATGCAAACTCTGCGCACACAGGGTGGAGGCAGGATTCGAACCCCAAACCCCAGAGGTGCAACGCAAACATACTAATTCCACATGATTAGTTTATTAAAAACATGGAATAATATTCCACATGATCAATTTACCGCATATTTACATTCTGCACTTATTATAACGTAATTATTTTTCACATGCCTCATTTATTATATAATTATATTCCACATTATTAATATACCATCACATGTAGACCTTGTTATATTCCACATGATTCATTTATTATTGCATGTAATTATATTCCACGTGATTATATTCCATCCTTACTCATGCCTTTATTCACATGATGTCACGTGTCAGGCGAGGTCATAAGTACATCAAATGTCCAGTTTCAGCGAACAGCGCAGTGAAATGCACCTTCAAATGTTTTAATCACATCGTCACATGCCCAGTGAATGATTACGGAGGACTCCATCATGGTGAGCTGGTGATTTGGGTCAGGTGTATGAGAGCTGATAAACACTAAAATATGTAGACATTGCTGTGAGATGCACCGAGCTCGTCTATCCACTAGGATGCTCTCCAGCTCTTAGTGTGCAGAGTCCTGCAAGTCCTCAATCCTCCTCCTCCTCCTCCTTCACCCTGACCAAAGCCGCGCTCCGACACTCTCTCTCTCTCTCTCTCTCTCTCTCACACACACACACCACACACACAGCAGGGTGTTCGAGCAAGAGGAAGCATCTTTCCGGTGTTGTGTGTGTGGTTTTTTTTTTAATCTCCTCTGTTTGGAGCCACTACACCATTTTAGATGAGGATGCACCGGAATGGCACGCGCCTCACCTGGTAAGCACGGCTCTCTTTAGGTGGTGCTGTAATGATGCACGTGTACTTGATGTTCTCTAAACCTCGTTCATGAGATTAATGAAAATCTACTGGTGGAGCAAATCTGAAGGGTTAAATCCCAAATGTCTGCTTCCTTCCTACAAAAGTGCATTTCTTAGAAAGGATTCCGCAGCCTGCCTAGTGCACTAGATGATCAAAAAAACAGACGTTTTGGATTGAACCACCAATGTCATGGCTTGTTCTGTATCGATGTAGGAAATAAGGGCTGGTAAATCATACCAAATAGTGCATGTAGATTATTATTATTATTATTATTATTATTTTAAGAGTGTTTTAGTTTACTGTTAGAAATGTTTGGGATATTTTGGTTTAAATCCTATTATTTAAATATATGTGTGTGTGTGTGTGTGTGTGTGTGTATATTCAAATCTGACATTGAGGACTGAGGAGAGAGGCTGTTGCTTTACTGTATGGAAATCCTGGGAATGATTTATTTATAGATCTCAAACAACAAAAGTTGTTCATGTTGTCCAGATGTTCATTTTTATTTATTTTTGGACCGTAATGATGTTGGGGGGTTCTTTGATTGCTTTTTACATCCATTACTTCAAATACATAAAAAAAAAAGTTTTTACAGGTGTTGATTAGTTAAAGCAGCATTACAGAACTCTCTGGAGTGGACATTTCCTCCATTTGTATCGTTAGCAATGGTACCGATCCGATACCCAGGATAAAAACAAAGAATGGTGGAGCAGATATCGGAGAAAAAACACAAATAGAATCTAATCCTATATTGGAGCTGGCGATCTTTACATATAAAGAGACATGACTCTATTCATTTGTTAGGATTCATTTTCATTAAAGTTATACTTTATTATATTTATCATATATAACTGATTATATTTGTAAGAGTTTAATTGAAGTTTTCGCTGTACATTTTTCCTGTATGTTTTTAAGTAAAGCGCTTCCAAAATGACAAAAGTAGTTTTTAAAGGGGGGGGATAAAATGTCGGATGGGTATTGGTACTGTGGTGGGCTGATACTTTAGGTTTCAGCATCGATATCGTCATCAGAAGTGGTATCGTGCCAGCTCTGGTGAAAACATCTTGAATATAGTCAAATTGATCTAGCATGTCCCGTGATAAATTTACAATAAAGCAAATATAAGATTCTATTTCTAGAATCAGTAATATGTGAGTACTATTTGAGTACTATGTGAGTACTATGCGAATATGTGAATTTTGCTCACGTCTTGCGTATACACACTCACTGTAGTGCAACTGGAGGTATGATTTCCCTGCACTTGTCCCACATGATTAATTGATCCTCCTCAGCCTGGATCATATTCGTACATCTCGATCTGTAAGCCGCACAAGCTGCTCCACAGGTGTCTCAGCTGGAGGTGGGCAGCCTGTAACGACCACGAGCAACTCAAGCACCTGTTTGTCTAGAACGGATGCGGTTGCCTTTTACTGGAAGCACGTAAAAGAGGGAAAGATGATGACTTGCATTAGGATGTTATCATGATGTCGTTGCACTGTTAGGGCTCCTGTCTAGATTTCAAGTCAAACGATGACCCCATTTAACGCGTGCCCAGGAGGCTTCTGGGATTGCTACTGTTGTAGAATTGTCCTTCCTTGCTTAAAACATGTGGTCGTTTCCTGAAAAATCCCATTGATTTACTCTGTTCTGAATAAACACTAAACTCAGAGCCAAAGAAGGACCCAGACCCCAGTTTCTGAGCAACATACAGTATTTTAAACACATTCATACTCGTCATGTTTAATGTCTAATCCCATTATTTAAATCTCCATCAAATATGGAGCTCAGTCTCTCTCTCTCTCTCTCTCTCTCTCTCTCTCTCTCTCTCTCTCTCTCTCATCAATACCTCCTTAAAGCTTGGCATTGCTTTTTTCAAGTACAAAAAAATCCCCCACCGGATTTAGTCGTATTTCTGTGGACATGTGCAATCGCAGAGGAATGTGGAGGCTGCACGGTTACCATGGCATTTATTTGTGGTGATGTTCTTAAGGCCGGATGTAGCTGTTTTTTGCCCAGTTATTATGTTCTTCCATGTTAGTCATGATTATATTTATACATATTAATCTCACAGTGCTACTGGATGCTCAGTCAGTGAGCAACGGTTCTGTGGGACTCAAATAAGCACTTTTTACAACTGTGGAGAGCAGAAAAGCATCGCAGAACGTACAACACTTTGAGCTTTGAGGCGGATGGGCTTCAACAGCAGAAGAGCACATCGGGTTCCTCTCCTGTCAGCCAAGAACAGGAATCCGAGGCTACACTGGGCACAGGATCAATTGAAGATTGGAAAAAGACCAGGCAGGGTTTTTCCCTGAGCTTGAACTGTCCAGTTCTAGTGAGCCTGTGCCCACGCTGCTCATCCACCACCCCACCATTCTGATACTTCATGTGAACATTAACCGTAGCTCTTGACCTGTATGTCCACGGTTTTATGCACAGCACTGCTTCCACACGATTGGCTGATTGCATAATTGCATGAAGGACGAAACATCACTAAAAGCATGTGAAAATGAGCAGCTTATCCTGTCTTATAAATGTATTGTCCTTATAAAGGGTTTATGCGTTTTCACCATAGACGTCTATAAAGATGAAATTAGAATGGGCTGGATTATAAATGGATTCCAGGTAGCTTTTCTAGGTAGCTCGCAAGACCACCCAGAACAAAATTAGCCCAACGGCGAGTAAAAAGATTTGGGTCAGTGTTCTACTTTTCCAATATAGTGCATATGCCTCACTGGATGTACCTCATTCGTAGGACAGTCGTATACGCAGTGTGTGTTGTGTCCGGATTAGAGGTTCTCTCGTCGATGCAGACCAGAGAGTGAAATTTTTTCCTCCACTCTTCCATTTCTGTTCATCTGAGAGGAAATCTTTATACTATATAACCGTTCTTGGGCTTATAATTATATAGTAAATGGTAAGTGGCACACTTATATAGCGCTTTTATCTTTATCAAAGCTCTTTACACTGTGTCTCATTCACCCATTCACCCATACACACACCCCAATGGAAGCAGAGCTGCCATGCAAGGCGCTAACTTTCCATCGGGAGCAACTTGGGGTTCAGTGTCTTGCCCAAGGACACTTCGGCATGTGGATTCATGTGGGCTGGGAATCGAACCGCCAACCGCCTACGATTAGTGGACAAAGCTCTACCACCTGAGCCACACCCACCCTGGCGGGTCCAGTACACATAGGCTGGTTCCAGTCTGTGTGTGTTCTTATATTCTCTATGGTAGAAAACAATCTTGTGCTCTGTGACCCAGATTAGCTCCATTATACATGTCATGTAGCTCATTATTAGCTTTTAGCAACTTGCGCTAATTGCATGCTGCTAGCGCACGAAGATAAAGCATCTGGGAAGAGAAAAAGCCCTGGAAAAACATCCTGTCCTTGTTCTTCCCCCCTGTTCTTTCCCTTTCTCATCTTTCCTCTCTCTCGTCCGATGTCCGAAACAGGTCAGAAACAAGGACGTTAGCCAACTGAGGCCAGCATGCTAACAACGTTTGGTTCCAGTGCATGCTCGGCTATGTACGTGTTCTCATCTTTTCCAATTCTGCTGTCACAATAGATTCATTGTAGCAGCGGAAAACAGACACACACCTCTTTCAGTAAAGGATGTAATCACTTTGAAAGAATTTTAATTCTGTTTCCTTTTTGCCTCAAGAAAAGGACTCTTGTTTCTGCTACAGCTCAACATCTGAACAGGAGTTACAGCGACATAGCGACTTAATCTTTCGAGTCCTTTGAATAGCAGAGAAATTAGATTTTCTCTTTAAGGATGTGTGTTCCAGGAGCACGCACATGTGCAGAGGGTGCCAATTCCCCTTGAACTCTTTTAATAAATAACAATTTAAGTAAGGAACGCTGAAAACTCTTGGGGGCATACTCTTATAGGAAAGTAATCAATGAAGGGGTCATGTGATGGAGCCGGTTACTGTTCCCACCCTAAATGTTATCCCGAAGTCTTTTATTCTTCATATATCACACCAATTTGCCAATAATAAAATTTTTAAAATACATTAATGCAGTGGTTCTCAAATATTTTTTTATCCAGGGACCTGTAAAAAATAAACTCCACAAACCATCTCAGTATGGATATATGGTGTTTCATAAACTATATAAAGTCTTCAAATTATATTTTTGGGAGCCATAGAACTTTCCACTGACAGACGTCTGAGGTGTCTTTTTGGTGCTTGGACCCCTAATCCCACCAAAAGTGCTATAATATAATATATATAATATAATATAATATAATATAATATAATATAATATAATATAATATAATATAATATAATATAATATAATATAATATAATATAATATAATAGCCCAGCTGTCCTTCAATTTTAGAACCATTATATTAATGAACAACAACAACGTGTCCTGTATGTTTTATCCATTTATAGTTACATTCATCTTTAAAATAGTTTGTTCGTATTATCACTTACATTATAGCAGCTATAAACAGCCATGCTGTTATCAACCTCTTAGTTTTTTTTCTCTTTTAAAGTTAATAATACAATACTACTTCCAAAAAAGTTAAATAAACGACTCCTCGCCACAAACCTCACCATATTAACACTGACTGTCAGGTTGTAATCTGAAGAGCTACATGGAGATGGTTGCATTGAGTTTATTGTGTTGAAAATCATTCAGGCCATCCAGGAGCGTGTTGGATTTTTACATTAAATAGGGCAGACCAAGACATTTCATGCTGATGGTTAAGATCCATAGACCGATCCAAGAGACATCAGTCACAGACTTAAAAATTCTCAAATGCTACAAACTGTGACGTCCAGTCAAAGCGCGTTGGTTCATAACAGGAGAATCTATCAGCATGTTACAGATGTAATCCTGAAGAATCTCCCTTAAGTAAGAACTTGTTCAGCTCTACACTCATGGCTGTGTGGTGATGCAGCTCATGTTTAAGCCGTCAGACACCACAATCTGGCCAGTTGGATCACCGACTCGCCTTTTACACGGTAGAACTCAGCCAATTTGAAAGGCGTCTGATTTTGGCAGTCACGTCTTTCAGGCTTTTTCCCTCTCTTTTTTTTCTAAAAGGATTTTGTTTACGATAGGTTGTTAATAGCAGAGCTGCTGCTTGATTCATGCCAGCCTGGCACTTTCATTCAATGCAGAATGGAAAGATTTACATGAAAGATTTATTCCATTCCGCAATGAAGTGCCGCTTGTGACTGGCCATTACTTCACAAAATATACATACCTACATTTGATGCTAAATACATTATTATTCCTCTGCTGGTTATAACGGTTTATTTTGTTTGATAGTTCAGTGAGCCATAGCGCAATTTCTAAAAAGATTTTTTTTGGATTATATACAATATATCCATATAATTATTGTATATACAGTGTATATTTCATTCAGTGCAGAATGGTACATATATACATATCTCTCTCTCTCTCTCTCTCTCTCTCTCTCTCTCTCTCGTCCTCCTGGGACATTACACCTCCATTACTGTAGAGGGCCCCTTCCCCAGAGTACTAACCATTTACTCTACACTCATCACAAGTTTCTTTTTAGAAAGCAAAGTCAAATAGTCAAACACTTGCCAAACACTTGCCAAACGCTGCTTTTGTATAAATCCAGAGCCCTATATTTTGTGATTGCTATTTGTCTGCTTGACCCTTGCCTTGATGCATTCTGTTTGGACTAGTTTAATCTATATTTACTCTGGGTACTCAGGTATACTCCCCCAGTCAAAAGACATGCATGGTAGGCTGATTGGCGTGTCTAAAGTGTCCGTAGTTTATGAATGGGTGTGTGAGTGTGTATGTGATTGTGTCCTGTGATGGACTGGCACCCTGTCCAGGGTGTACCCCGATTCTTCCCTTGTGCCCGATGCTCTCTGGGATAGGCTCCAGGTTCCAGTATTGAAGATGTATAGAAGATGGATGGATGGATGGATCATCCAAGTCCTTCTCTCATTCTTATCGCTCCTGTCCGACTGGGTCCGACTTTTTATAGGATTAATGAATGTATCCAGTACTAGCGGGAGTGTTAGATTGCATGCTGTTTATTAATTTTGCCTCAGGTTTTTGGGTTGTATAGCAGCGTGCATTTGAAATCAGTTTGCCCTAAATCCTCCTCTTTTATGCACCATCCCTGAGCAGAGGGCCCATAATCCTTAATGAATCAATTAGAATGAGAGTCAACGCCACACATCAGATGGGCATCTGGACTGACAGACGGAGGGGTTGCCATAGAGATATACAGTGCGGTTAGGTTCTGATTACATTTGCACGGACGAGAACCGAGAACTCTGAGCCATAATTGAGGAAATTGGGGCTGCAAACAACACGCATGGGACAACAAACACATGCTTCTTCTCGTATTTTGATCATAATCACAGCGTCTCATTTCAACGCTCTTGACTTCCATTAGTTCTGCTGATCTATAACAGGCTGTGGTATATAAACACTGTCCTACTCCATAACCCTTGACAGTGAGAACTCTGTCTCTCAGGTTTGCGGATCAGCTGCCATTTGGAATGTGCTTTTTAAACTTTCAAGAGGGAATTGGTACCCTGTCTACGTGTGTGTGATACTGGACAACTCCACTTTAAACTGTCCATCAGTTGTTCCCTTCAAAAACAAGTGCCCAGCTGGACACAAATGGACACCTTGGGTAGTCCCCTTCGACGTGCAATGTTTATGCATCATTGCTTCAGATTGGACTGTTTAAATCCACGCTTATAATCTCAAGCTTGTTATGAATGCCAGTAATGTTAATGAAATATTGCAAGGAAGTGCTGCATGAACATTGACAGGTGGTGTGTAAACCGAGGTCTCAGTGACATAATCATTGCAGCTTCTTGTTTGCAGTGGCTGGCGTTACGTGCTTCGCTCTTTCTCAGTTAGGTCACTTGTATTGAATCACTCATTTATCTTCATGGCAGGGTGGAGCCTTTGGGCAGCCGCTGCTCCAGCTAGCCTTGGCTTTTTTTTCGACGAGCAGAAGGGAACTTTCGCCTTTACGATCTTAGGTTAAATGTGGTCACCTTGTCGTTAATGGAGCTCGGTCGTATTTGCGCAGCTCCACGTCGCCGTCACCAGCGCAGTGTTCTCGTTTTGTCCTTCTCTCTCCTTGAATTGAACGAATTGAACACAACAATAATCTGCAAGCGCTGAGGGAGCATTTGAGACGTTAATGTGGATATAATCCTGATCTAAACCTCTAAGCTTCTAAAACAACATTACGGATTCATTAGTGGTCTATGTTGCAGCACATCACGTCAGCAGTTGAAGAAATCCATCTCGTCAGAGAAAGATTGAATATTTTCCCAGTAAGAAGGAAACATGCGCTCTTACGCAGCTTGATTGTATACCGCCGGCCGTCCTACAGGCTCCCTCGGTGCCAGTAATGCTTATTGATTTTCGAATCAGGTTCTGGTCTGGGAGAATGAATGCGTAAATGCGTGAAATAGCTTGAAATTTTGCTGGTGAAGCTAGACACGTTGCTTCAATCTCGCCAATCAGAAGTGTTACGGTCAAATATTACTGGAAGAATATGCTGTGAGGTGCGGGATGCAAGAGAGTAATTCACAGCACGTTCATTAGTCCAGTAATCTGTACATAGGGGTCGAAATATAGCTCGGGGAAAACAGCAGGGTAATCCTTCATCAAAAGATCTGAGAGACAGTAAACACAAGGAGCTGGGAACAGAGACGTGATGAAGAAATCCACAGACGTCAACAAAACAAGTCAAATTCATTCCCTGTTCACGACTGAGTGCACTGTTTGGGGTACGGCCAAATGTCGTACGGTTGCCTGAAATACATTACAAGAGCTTCTTTTTCTCACTGAGCTTTTTCCAGTGATGTTTAGGGAGATTTTAATGAGAAATCCAATGTAAATGAAATAGTGAAGACAACAAAGAGAGCTATACCTTTTAGGTTCGGCTAGTTAGAGCACGATGACGTTGATGACGGTTTGATATGAAAGTACAGAGTGGATCCCCCCCCCCTTTAACCAAGCTAAGTAATATAATCCATCCAGCTCTTTTCTCCTCCATCACTTCAGGCCTTGGATGGCCTTGGGTCTGCATCGGTGTGGGCTTCACTACAGAACGCATAGAAGTACACTCTTGTAAACCAAAATGAGTTCAAAATATGACGCCTTACGGCCTTGTCATCATTCGCGAATAAGGAC